TTAATGTTTATGTACTTAGGTTATCTTTATAAAAGATAAACCCTAAACTGTCCCCAATCACAGGACTATGGAGGGGTACAGGGCAAAGAAGGAGAAGGGAGACTGATATTTCACCCATACTCATCTAAACTCTCAGCTGCTTTTGGAAAATCCACTTAAGACCACAGCCTTACATTCTACTTTAATTAATTTACATGTCAGTGTGAAACACTGACATGAAAAGTCTATTTTGTGAAATAACTAAAAAATATAATATTATGGCTCCTTTTGTCTCTTTTATAATACAAGGTTAACAGGTACTCTTTTTTCCCCCCAAGAATTTGCAGCTGCAGTCCAAAATGTGGCAAAATGGGCAAAAAAATGTTCTAAATACTTCACACTCTAGAGAATTCATGAATACCTGGAACCAATCTTCCTTCAGTGTTTTCTGACCAGTGGCAGACCTGGTCCTACTACACTCCGCCACCTACCACAACCAAATGATCAGAACAGAATGTTGGGCACAAGGGAGAGAAGTGCACTATTGACAGTCATGGGCATCCCTACCTCTGGGAGAGAGGGGAAGCAAGGAACCCCACAGGAACCTTCCCGGGGCCAAAAAGAAAGTTCTAAAAGAATCACTCACCAAGATTGGGAGTACCTGTGAGAAAGGGAGGCTGGCAAATGGCTCCTGGACAAATCCTTCATGAGGGAGTCCTTGGGGAAACCTGGCAAAAATCCCTGAAGAACAAAGAGGCTTTCCCTTTCTCATTGTTGAGACAGTTAATGCAGAGACATGGGATGGCCTATAGCAGTAGGACCAGAAGGGGCAAAATGTGAGCTCAGTGGTCTGCTGGTAAGTACTCAGCAAGGACTGGGAGATGACAGGTCCTGGTTGGTGGCCCTTGTTGATTTCAGGGACAGAAATCCTCTCACCATGGCCAATTTCAAGTTACCAATGCGAAGTTACCGAATGCACAATGAAGAGATGGGCAGGAACAGGTTCTTGTGCGGTATTTCTTTTTTTTTTTTTTTAAAGATTTTGTTTATTTACTTATTTGACAGACAGAGATCACAAGTAGGCAGAGAGGCAGGCAGAGAGAGAGAGGAGGAAGCAGGCTCCCCGCCGAGCAGAGAGCCCGATGTGGGGCTCAATTCCAGGACTCTGGGATCATGACCTGAGCCGAAGGCAGAGGCTTTAACCCACTGAGACACCCAGGTACCCCCAATCCTGCTATTTCTATGTGGGCATCATTTCTCCATTACACACTGACACCAAATACAAAGAGGTGTGGGTACTCAAAAATGCAAGGCATCCTTATCAGGAATAGTAGCAACAGCGTATCTTAATGTACATTATTTTATTTGATTTTCACAGAAGAGCTGCAAGGTAGACAGGACCGTTATTAATAGTCGCTCATGTCTCACAGGTATTAAAAATGAAGCTGAGAGAAATTAAATGATATGCTCCCTTAAAAGCCAGAACTTGACTACACTTCACTATTAGCTAAGGAACAGTGGCTTTAGAAGTCAGGTCCAGGTTCTAATCCTGGTTATGCCACTTAGAGTTATGGGACACTGGGTCAAACATTCTCTCCAGGCCATGGTTCTTTCTATGAAATTAAATCACCGGATCACAGTATCTGTAGGTCTCTTCTAGGATCATGATACTATTTCATCAACAGGAAAGATAAAATGTCCGGAAGGCCAGGATAGATTACAAAATTAAGCACACAACAATGCCAAAGGGAAGAATTCAGGCAAGGCTTATGGGGTGCCAGAAATAAAACAAACTTGTGCTACACAAGCTCTCAAGTCAAGCTTTGATGTGCTTCCTGAAAACAATGCTTCCAAGCATTTCCAAGTTTGCCGAACCAACCGGGCTTCCATGTGGAAGAAAGTGAAAACCCAAAATTGAAGTAGCACAGGAAGGAATATAGACAAGGGGAATTTCTGAAGGAAAAAAACTGCTAAGCAATACATGTAAAAATTATCTCACTCTGTTCTAGAAATTGCCAACAAGTATTATAATGAAATATTTTATTATTTATTATGATATTCACTAGTAATTTTACAAAAGTCTAGCTAATTAAATATTCATTTTGATATGTAGGTTTTCAGGAACAAGCAAAAACAAAATATCCACATATTAATGCACATCCAGAAAATAACAAATCAGTATCAGTGATGAGTCAGTACAGACTAAACAGAAAAAAGAAAGAAAGTCTCCAATTTATCTGCATGCCATAAATGCATCTTTGAACAGGCAAAATGTAATGCATTTCTTCAACCAATTTACCAAGAATAGAAATTGCTAGGTGAATCAATAAAATATGAATTATTTTATGTTCTCTCCTGTATTTCTCTCTCATTTATTATTTCACCAAAACCTATTAACTGCTCTATTATTTAAAACTCAAGTGTTCTATGGGTGAGGTGGAAGGGAAGAATTTCTTTCTTATTTATATTTGTTCATATCTGTAATAAAATCAGAATAAAAACATGTGGGCACATACATACGTAACATATAAATAAAAAAATAGCCACAGTTAGCTAATTCAGTAAACATGAGATATTATCGTCTAAAGTGATGAAAATGTTCTAACCAAAAGAGGAATCTTTCAAATTGACCTTGAAAATGGAGCCCAGCTTTTCTACTAAGTTTACAGTACAGCCTTGACCCTCCTGGGCTGTGATCCCAGGTCATCACTTACCGTGTGATTCTCTAAGTATCACATATGCATCCCACACCCCCTGTTCATTCTGTGAAACACAGGGTTGATTCAAAGGGGTCATGTGATAACACATGAACTGTTCTAACATAGGATTGGCACTCAATACATTCATCTCCTATCAAAGCCCAGCTAAGAAAGATCCTAGCTTCAGTGAGGCTTCCTACACACTGCAGCTCTCAGCAAAGGCCTTTAGTCTGTTGACAAAAAGAGTCATACTGACCTAGTTCAGGAATCTCTTGAGTTACTCATGCTATCCTCAGGAATACAAAAATAACTGGATATCCTGATTCCTGTTGGTTATACAAAACTATTAACCACCTCCTCAAACACACCTACCCGCCCATCCAACATACATACTCCAACCAAACTTATGGACAGGAAGGCAAACTTCGGAGAGAAAAAACAAACAACTGCGATTCACTGAACACTTATCTGCCAGACAGTGCCCTAGGCAATTCTGAACAAATTTGCAGCCTAGACACAATAAATAAGTTGTACAGAGAAAGAGATAGCAAGGGATTCAGCTGGATTTTATCATAACTAGATTTGACACTAAAGCCCATTGTCCCTAAAATTGTGCAAATCTTTCTCCCACATTTAACTATTACTAATAATGCACAAAACAGCTTCCCAGAAAAGTTTATACTAAGTAATTAAACCAAACAGCACACAAAACTCCACACTTAACAACGACAACATATACAATTCCCTTGGCTGTGACCTCGGGACTCTGGCTATGCACAATCCTTGAAACACTGAGTAAAATATTCATTTCTAGTTTAAATATTCCAAATAGTATGAATCCACAAAACAAGAATATATTTCAAAACTGTCATTAGCAATAAAATATAAGTTGAAATTGGAGATTTCTGAAAAAAGATCTGGGAGTAGTATTGGGAAAGGTATGAACAAAGTAGTTTAAGGAACATCTATTTTCTCTATTATATCAACTACTTGGGCTAAAGGACCATTCTGATTTCCTTTTGATTATAAGGAAATGTACAGTTCAGCTGAAATATATACTGAACCATCACAAAACTTCCAGCATCATATTTTAGCACATGAGAAAAATTCTATTATTCCTCTTTCAGCCTAATAGAATAGGGGAAAAAATGAGATAGTGTTAGCAGAGAAGACTGAAATGGAAGCACTTGGTTATTATGAAATAATCATTATGTCAAAGGAATAGATACATTTGCCTGTACCTTTCCCATGCTTATGCCCTAGAGGTGTGTGATTATCTTATAATCATTGCTGTTTCCCAGAGAAACACATTTTGCTTCATGGTACAATTTTTTAAAAGTGAAAAACGTATTACCAGAGGTGCTTGTTAAATTGATGATGATGACTTAAATTAACCTACATTTGTCACTAAGTTTCAAGGGTCATCCATTATTGAGCACAAAAAGACATATTTTCTACATGAGGGGAAACATAAAATGCAAAGAAAGTGAGAGAACCATTAATTAAAGTTTATGTAAAAGAAGAGAGAGAACTATTACAAATACCTATGATTTCAGCCTTTTTTGGGGAACAGGGTCCATATTCAGAAAGACAAAGCCATCAATGGTAGTCAAAAAAGGAAAGAGGTCTACTTACATTTGCTGACTGCATTACCAACAGAAAATCATTATTCTGCAATAATCACTGTGCCTCAGTGAACAGTAAAATTATTTTTAACATTTCATTTGTTTTACAATCTCTAAAACACAATGGCTCTAGTTAAATTACTGTACAATAACCCAATCATTTAATTTTAAATCAGTATTTTATCCATCGTACTAAGTCTTCTTCTGATACAAATGTCATCTAAAGGAACGTATTTTCAATATATTGAACGCACCCTGACTATTTTATTCTTTGCTGGCTACATATTCTCTTAAGACAAAACTAGATAATTAAAGTGTTCAGTGATGAGTCTATTAACAAAAGCAAAAGATTTAACATATTGCCTTGAGAGAGACTTTTCAAGTTTCTTTCCTTATCTTGGTAGGCAAGAGAGAACTATATTTTTAACACTCCTGAAGGGGATAATTATAAGTCTTATCATTTGCTTCCTGCTGATAAAAGGTAAATATAAACTCTTAATGAAGATGACTGTGACTGTTCCTCCATCGTGGGATCTTCTTCAATCATTTCCTGTGCTAGAACCCTCATCAAAAGAAACAGCCCAGGTGAAATCATAAGCAGAAAGCTATCACTGATGTCACACACAGCAAGAGAGATCACATCAAACAGTAATATTCTTTTTCTTTTTTTTTTAATTTTTTTAAAATTTTTTTATAAACATATAATATATTTTTATCCCCAGCTAACCTCTGCAAAAGAGAAGAAGAACGATCATCAATGACCAAGGGCTGTTGTATAGCACAATGCCCAAAGTCAGCTTCACGCTCAGGAAGGAATACTACGTCTGTCTCCTCCTCGTGGTTTTGGGTACTCTACAAATTCAGAGAAACTTCTCTAGTAACAAACTATAGAAATGATCCCTGAAAGTATAGTCTTAAACAGTAATATTCTTGTCCAGTGAGAATCAGACAGGAGAACGACATGGTAATAAGTGGCTCATACCTCATACGGTAAGGGCTAATTAGTTCAAGAAAAGTCCCAGAGGTCAGGGATTTATTTTCTACCATAAAATAGACAGATTAATGAAATATCCTCTAAAATTCCAGTTTATCAATCTTATAAGAAAAGGAAACTGGAATCAAATTATCCTGCAAAAATGTAACTGCCTCATTCATTAAATTTATTAATTTCTCCATTAGGGTAAGAATTAAATTGCCTGGTTGTAAGCCTGCAACTAACTAAAAGTAAATGCTATGAATCTGTCATGAAAATACATGAAGAAAAGCTAAATTTCCACAATTATATGTATAAAAAGTATGCTGTGATATTTCCAGTAATAAAATTAACAATGTTCTGAACAGCTAAATATGTGTGGAACAAACGTCATTATATAGCATAGATCAAGAATGTGTAAATACTTAAAATGAGATAAGAACTCAAGAGGCAATTCTTAAGTTTAGCACCTAATTTGTGCCATTCCCGTAAAGCCAATACGGAGAGAGAGTTAAGGTAAAACACAGAGATCCTGTCCTCAGTAGCAGAAAACTTATTTTAAATAACATCCAGCAGGGATGCCTAGGTGCTCAGTTGGTTAACAGTAAGCCTTTGGCTCACGTCACGATCCTGGAGTCCTGGGATCAAGCCCCACATAGGGCTCCTTGCTCAGCGAGGAGCCTGCTTCTCCCTCTGCCTGCTGCTCCCCCTCTCTGCTTGTGTTTTCTCTCTCTCTGACAAATCAATAAATAAAATTAAACAAACAAACAAAAAGCATCTATCGATAATGTGTCAACAAGTGCATCGGGGTATTGGGCTGTAAAGCTAAATTAAGGACAAGCCTGACGGTCGGAAAGCCAAAGACCGGGTAAAATGAGGGTAGTTACAAAACGACATTAGAGGGACGTCTGGGTGGCTCAGTTGGTTGGGCGGCTGCCTTCGGCTCAGGTCATGATCCCAGAGTCCTTGGATCGAGTCCCGCATTGGGCTCCTTGCTCTGCAGGGAGCCTGCTTCTCTCGCGGCCTCTGCCTGCCTCTCTGCCTGCTTGTGTGTACTCTCTCTATCTCTGGCAAATAAATAAAATCTTTAAAAAAACAAAACAAAACAAACAAAAAAAAAAAACATGACATTAGATGGGTTATGATTGATGCGGCTACCTAAGTCTGCTGAAATGCAAAGGAAACACTGAATGTCAGGGGAAGCTGCAAAGGCTCAAAAGAAGGCTACATTTTAACTCACCTGGACACAAAAAGGGGCATGTTTAGAGGCCTCAAAAGTATTTGCAGGATACCCAAACTCTGGATAATGATGGCAGGGAGGCCAGTTTATCAAGAGAATGGCACGGAGAAATCTAGGTAAATGGTGGGAATGGCAAACTTTACCATATATGAACCACGGGGCAGAGACAATGTAGTTCATTAACTGGCTTTGATATGGAAAAAGGAGGAGAGGAGAGGTTTTGGTCTGTGATGAAAGTTGAGTCAGTTCCAACGACGAAGTTTCCAGGCGGAGGGATTCTGAGAACGATGTATCACTGATAGAAATACAGAAACCGATATACAGTTGGAGTATGAAGAGTAAATATAAACAATTAATTCATGTCTAAATTCCTGATAGCTGAAAACATAAAATAGCCAACTTTACTCATGCAAAATCTTCCTTTATTTACAGCATTCCTTTGACTACCTGCTGAAGCTCTAAGGAGAAGTGACAGATGTTAAATTTGAAATTGTTGTTTTCAAGTTTCTTAAAATCATTGGTGGTAGTATGTAGAAGGTAAAATATTCTCCAGAAGCAACTCCAGCTGTAAAATGAATGTGCTGCACTTTTTGTATGTAATAAGGCAAAATCAATTTAGCATGCTCTGTGGCTGCAAGAAAGTCTTTAAACCAATTAAATTAACTTTCCCTTCTGCTGATTGTACTTGCTAGTCGATTATCCTTAACCCATAGCAGACAGTGTTTACTTCTGGGCCAAGATGGTTTCCTGGAAACATCTTATAGACATAGCTGTAAGGGGGATAATGCTTCCCCATAGGGATGACACAATCTGAGATGATTTTTTTTGATATCAATAAATTTTGATGATGTCAATCATGTATTATTAAAACAAACGAATAATGCAAATTATAGTCATACACAAATGTAATCATTTTAAATAATGAAATTGTGTTCCAGGTCATCTCCTAGATTTCAGTACTGAAGAAACCTCAGAAAATTTCTAAGTTGAAACACTGTATTTTTTCAGACAAGAAAAGAGACACATATTTTTTCAGACAAGAAAAGAGACACATATTCTATGACACTTCACCTCCCAACTTTACAAAGTCACATACAATGACCATAAGTAATTAGCACTGACTCTCAGAGAGCCAATGGCAATGCCACCACATTCAATTTGAGCATTTTCCACCTACAGGACAGATGCTGGCAATCATTTATATAAGCTTTGTTTTTTCTTGCATCTATGCTATATAAAACAAAGAGGACAGGACTGAGTGACCAAGGCATTTTTTTTTTTTTTAATCTGAAAGAGCTATGATTCTAACTTCAATTCTAAACTTTTGGCAAGTAAGACATGCTTTATTCAGGTCCTTAACACCAAGAGCATCAAGAGCAGCCTTGAAGGAATAAAAAGGGACAGACAAAAGGCTGCCTGAGCACTGTGGTCTATGTTTGGAAGGAGGGAATAGAAGCTGCTGCTCTTTGCCTCGATAATAGCAGAGGAAACATAAACCCTAAAAAAATAAAATAAAAAAAATTTAAAAGTCTTCTGTAGTTAATCCAAGGGGACGGAGATGGCTGGCAGAAGACCAGGTGCTGAAGAAGCCACAGCTATTGCCAAGTTAAAAGCAAAGGAAACATGGTAACCCAACTACCCCAGAGTCAAAGCAGTGATTACTATTTAAGTGCTTTAAACTTTGACAGGGATAGAGAGGGGACTGACCAGGTGTCCCCACTGTAGACATGGTCCTCCCTGGTTCTTAAACAAATCAAGATAAAAACACCACAGGGAGGTTGAAAGCAGATGATTTTATTCACCCCCACCCTGTTATCAGCTTTATAAGAGCTGTAGCTGGAAAATGGCTGATGAAACCAATGTAGTAATCTCTCCTGCTAGGCTTTGATCTGGTTTTCTGCCAGAAGCAGCTATTATCTACTCAAAAAAAGAAAGGTCTGATCAGGTGCAAATCTCTATTGGCACCCAGGCCGAAGCTCAGAAGCCCCCCTCCTTGATCAAAGTTTAAAGCATTCACAAAACACTAGCGCACTGGTGTTCTCAACTTTGAAGAAACCATTACTCAGATTTTTCAAACTGTGATTATAAGATCTCTGCTTCTCATCCAAGATACTGATGCATAATCTCTGGCCAATGCTATGTGTCCTTGGGCAAAATGACTAGATTATTCACTTTATTTGGAAGAGTTGGAACAAATGAACTTAAAATTAATACCAAACTAAAAGCTTTAATGTGGAGCTTATCAGAAAAATAGGTACTATCATATTAACAGCACTCATTATTTTAGTAATTCTATTTCCTAAAATAAGAACCCGATATCAACTATAATATTTGGCATGGGTTGATTATAATGGACTTATTCACATATGAATTAGCCATTAAAACTTAAGTTAAAAACAACAGACAAAGGATTTTTTTTTTTAAATATGAAGTTAAAGAAAATATCAAGTGCTTACAGAAAGCAGTAGTATTTAATCTTGAAGCCCCAGAACCCACTCTATGAAAATCAAAGATCCTCCACCGTAATGGAGAATGTAAAATTGAGTTTACAAGCCTTTCAAGTTCAAAACTGGACAACCTAATGAGCCAGAGACCCCAGATTATGAACCTAAATCTCCAAAATTCCTTCAAATCTATAATCTAACCTGCACAGTCTTCTGCGGTAATCTCTTTAAGATTGAACTGTAGACCAAAGCACGCCTGAGGGTCATGGGCTGACAATCCTTCTATTTTGCACATAGGAATGTCTACGGTCATCGGCCTTGAATATACTTATGGAATTTCCAAATAAAAAGATTTCTAGTAGAGGACAAATGGATACTGGTCAATACAAAAGTAGCAATTTGTTACTGTACTGGCTCAAAAACCTCATAATGGTATGACGCTTAACAAGCACTCTTCTCATTATAAAAATCAAACAACCGTTCAGCAAATTAAAAAAAAAAAAAATTACGCCGGGGCACCTGGGTGGCTCAGTGGGTTAAGCCTCTGCCTTCGGCTCAGGTCATGGTCTCAGGGTCCTGGGATCGAACCCCACATCAGGCTCTCTGTTCAGCAGGTATCCTGCTTCCCTTCCTCTCTCTCTCTGCCTGCCTCTCTGCCTACTTGTGATCTCTGTCAAATAAATAAATAAAATTCTTTAAAAAAATTTTAAAAAATAATTACAAAGCAAAGCTATACCCCCCTCTTTCCCAACTACATACATACATAGATAAGCCAGGGTTCCTTTTTTATTATTATTAGTGAAAGCACAGTTATTAAATTCATTATAGTAAGAGTGAAAACAACAGAAACTACTTGACAGGCATCACCAAAAGATCAAGATTCCATTTTGCAAGATGCAAATTTCCCCTCTTCAAAATGTTTAAATCCTACCTTTATAATATAATTGTGATTTTAAAAGTTAGCAAACAGAATAACAAGTTTAAATAACGCCCCTCTATTTCAAATATGTTACAACACCAAAATATTATCACTTACTTGGTTATTACTTTTTAATTTCTTGAAAAAACTGCATTCCTAGGACTTCAGATATAGGGTTCATTCCTCCTGCCTAGACTCTGTTTCTGATAAACTAAATCACATTTTCCAGCTTTTAAAGAAATTCACATTCTGTAAAAGTCAGAAAATTACAACTCCAATCAAGTGTCAGGCTAAGTAGATTATCACTATAGGCCTATTAAGGTAATTTAGTAATTACTAA